CTTCCATAGAGTCCTCTGTTCTCCTATTCTTTTCAATACCTCTTCATTTCTAACCTTTTCTACCCACGATATCCTCATCATCCGCCTATAACACCACATTTCGAACGCTTCTAACCTTTTCTTTTCCGCATATAGGTACTCGAAAATAAATAAGAATTCATGGTTACGGTTCCGCGTTTGGGCAACACCAAACATGAATTAACCATAGTTCTGGTTATAATCATTATAACAATTGAAGTTTCGCGTCATTACATTTACGGGTACATTAAATAACTTATATATTAAACGTTTTAAAAAATTCTTGAGTTTCAAACATTTTTTTCTTCGGAACCAAGTTTCGAGAATCTCCCGGGAAATTGTGTTCGAAAATTCCCGGGTCAGAAACGATAATCTCCTCGCGCTACGTATGTGCGTCTTATTAAGAGGTTTGGGGTAGACTGAACAGCATTTTGGGGTGGGCTAAATCCACTCCAAACGTCTGTTAGTGTACATACTTATAAGACTAAAGATTCCTTTGATTGATTTTATTTGGAGAGTATTAAGAACACGTTTTAACGAATGTAGGGAAATGTATTTTCGGCCACAGACGGAAAAATATAGGTTTCTGTTGTTCAAAGAAATCCGAAGGCTTCATATTGACCGAGATTTCCAGAAAACTAACAGAAAAGACAAAAAACAGCTCTCAGACTTTGCCAATTTTTTTTAATTTTTTTCCATGCCCTTTCTTTTAATGGGAGATCCAGCCTTCAAATGTCTAGAACAAGCCAACTAACGTCTTCGTTATTTCTTTTTTTTTTACTTTTCACTTTCTCCCTTTTACTCCAATTGATTTTTCTTCCACATTGGAAATGACAGGGTATTGGAATTGGGTCTTAATAACGAACATAAAGAAGCATGTTTGGCATATTAATTGACGATCATTGAACTACGATCACGGATGAAACTACTTACAGCCGAATAGGCAAGACGTACTTTTTTAATTAAAGAAAAAATAACGAAGACGTCCTAAAGTAAGTTTATTGTCGATGTTGACTTCAATAAGTAGAATGCAATTTACAAATTTCTTCAAGAAAAATTACATACATATTTTTAAAAATTCGATATCTATTGTTTGATTAAGATCGCTTTTGCGTCATCGACATAGTCTGCACGAAGCAATCTCATCAATTATGACTGAAATTAGCGGCAGTAGATACTGAACTCGCCATACCTACCTTAAAATAACTGAAACTAAATGTTGCAAATGCAGTTGTAATAATTCGATTTTAAATGTAGAAGGAAAGCCCAATTCATATAAGTTTCTTTTATTTATTTGAACGTTAAGGATTGTAACAGTTGTCGAATAGAAACTTCTGTCATCACTTGTCATACACAACATTTTTCTAAGTATATATTACATTTCCAAAAATCTTGCATGTGCTGCCTTAATATACGCCCTTACCTCTCTTGTCAACTACATAACTTGTCAATCATTGTCTACGATATTGAATAGCGAGAAAATTGAATGTTCTGAAAATTTATTCATAGATTTACATGGAAGTTGAGGAACTACAGAATACAAAAACATTATAAACAAAAAATAAGTATACGTATTTAATGAGTTGAATATATAAAATGGTCTGCATTTTATCTTTTTATAATATAGTATATCCGATCCGATGGATCTTGAACTTGATNGGATTTGTTATTTCCGAATTTTATAATGTGATTGGCATTAAAAACACGCTCACCTTCAACGAAATTTCCTTTCCGAGGCTTCGTGTCAGCCCAATCACATATTGTGTCAATAATTATCATTTTATCGTAATTTAAAAACTTGGAAATTGCATAGTACACTATAGGAACTACGATAAATTTTCCCTAATCGGCGCCATGTTTTTAGGCTCCTCCCATTTGACGGATCGCAATATCTGATTGTATCTATGTTTGTAATTTAGGTATAAGTAATTAAATTAAACCCATATTTATCAGTCTTTTTCTTTTTAGACCGAGCAGTTGACCGTATTATGGATTCTGTTTGTTGTAACCGTGACAGGAAATGGTGGCGTTTTGTTAGCAGTTCTACATTCCAACAGGAAAAGCAGAATGAACTACTTCATCAAACACCTTGCTTTCGCAGGTAAAGTTTTCTTATTAATGAAACTGACGAGGTTGCGAATAAAACTTTTTAAAGTACACTTCCTCCTATACTGTTTTTATACCTATTCATTTTCATCTCAAAATGTATTTCCCTCTTCCTCTTATTTGTAGTTTTCTTCTTACTTAGTATGATTAGTCAGTACCTATTGGTATTTTGCTCTAAAAATTTATAAGAAAGCGAATTTAGTATTTATTGCTTATTTGATTTGAAAAATAAATATTATTAAAATTTATCTGCATTATTTTGCGGGACGTATAAATAATTAAAGCAATAATTCACGGATGATTAACAAAAATATACATGAGTTACTAATAATGGGTAAAGGTAGAAAATGGTAGAATACTCGTAACCAATAGAGCGCATGAAAACGGTCACCCGCTTCACCACCCTAATCCACTTCGGACTCGCTTCCAATAATTTATTATTTTTTATTTTATAGAGAGATTATTATTATTATTCCCGCTACTTCAATGGTAGCTAATTAACCAACTGGTCGAGCGGTAGGGAGGTAGGTTTTTATTTTAAGTAAATAATTTCGATATATGTACACAATTGTGAATACTATGTAATATGTAAGTACCAGAAAAGAGTTTAACTGAAAAAGTCTCACAAACATGTCGAAAACTACATATTTATTTCCAATTTCTTAGTTTATGTAGTTATACTTCAGTTACTTTCTCTAGCGATGTTCCCCTTCCAATGTCTTGGATGCGCGCTGGCAAAATCGTAGGTAGGGAGAAAAAAGCTCATTATACTCTCGACTCTTGTTCATTAAACATACTTTTTCATACAGTACCTGCCAAAAGTTTTGTTCAATCATGAATAGTAGTGCGAGTCGAAAACAAGCGTTAAAGCCTTTAAT